CTCAAGTTGACCTGGAGAGCGATAACATACCCCCACTGTCAGGTCTCTTTCCCTGTCAAAACCCCTTAGTTTCACCCAGACCACCTCTACAAGATTCCCATCTGCACCACATTCCATCTCATTGCATCCTATTTCTTTCCTAACATATAAAGCTATACCCCTGCCCCTCTTTCCCTTCCTGTCCTTTCTAAACAGGTGATACCCCTCTATGTTTACATTCCAGTCTTGCCTTTCTTTCTACCAAGTTTCCATGATCCCCACCAGGCCATACCCTCCTATTCCCAGGAGAGCTTTAAGCTCTTCCTGCTTATTACGCATGCTCCTAGCATTGGTGTACATGCACCACAACTCCTTCCCATGGCTTCCTTTCCTTGGGATCCCTAGTCTCCTCCTTCCTCCCATCTTCCCTGATACCTCCCCTACCCCTTTGTAGGAGAGCTATCAGCCCCTGCAGTACCTCTAACACCCTGGTTTCAGACAAAGCTTGATAGAGCATTTCCAATGGATCTTTTCCCCATCCTTGTGAGGTGCAACTTGTCCCTTGCCAGAAGTTCTTTGGCAAGAAACCAGGTGCCGTGGTCAAGGAACCAGAAGCATTCCTTCTGGCACCACACCCTAAGCCAGTTGTTCACCTCGGCAACCCTCCTTTTCCTGGCTGCCCCAAATCCCTGGACTGGTAAGGCCACTTGGGCCATTAGGTCCCTGAGTCACTTTCCCAAAGCCACAAAATCCCTGGTGATCCTGCCCACTCCTTGCCTGGCTATGTCATTTGTGCCAACATGAATCACCAGAAGTGGCTGGTGTCCCCCAGAGGGAACAAGATGCTTCACTCTATCCTTCACATGCTGGATGTGTGCGCCCAGCAGGCAACAGACCTCTCTCGCCTCAAAGTCAGGGTGGCGCACTGCCACCTCAGTGCCCCTCGATCCCCGACGGCGATCGCCCGCCATTGTCTCTTCCTGGTGGTGGTACCAGGACCTCCCTCTCCTCTCCTGCAGTGGCCCCCTGACTGCATGTGGTTCCAGGCTGGGGGTCCTGTCAGTCCCCCAAGTCCTCATCAGTCCCAGCCTCCCCAAGCAGAGAGAACCTGTTTCCCAGCTCCAGATCAGCGCCAGGTTTGCAGCCAAAACATGTCACTTTACATATATCATATAACAGATTTAATTGTGGATGAGGGGGCCGTGCATTATGGAAATTTGGACGGGAGAAGTGGGGATGTCTCTCTTACTCAGCTGTGCCAGCCTGGGTACCTGATCCAGCACCAGCCACAGCCTGAGGGGAGAGGGCGTCGCCCTGGTTCATCAGACCTCAATTTCCTTTGTGGGGCTTCCTGTCCCCTCGAGACTGGGCCTGGAGTGTTTGTACCTGGCATTAGGTGATCGATACAGATGGTGTACCGTGCACCCTTCTGTCCATCAGACTTCCTTCCTAAGCTGACAGAGATCGTCTTGGACCTGGTGTTGAGGACCCCCAGGATGTTGGTCCTGGGGGACTTCAATCTCCATACCGAGACTGTTCTGACCAGGGCAGCTCCGGACTTCATAGCCTCCATAACAGCCATGGGACTGTCTCAACATGTCGCTGGTCCAACCCATGAACAAAGTCACACTCTGGACCTGGTTTTCTCGATGGATCAGGAAGATGGTGATCTGGAAGTGAGAAACTTGCATTTAACTCCTTTGTCATGGTCAGATCACTTCCTCATGAGGTTTGAGCTCAGGGCTAACCTCTCCCTCTGTAAGGGTGCAGACCCCATTAAGATGGTCCATCCCAGGAACCATATGGATCCTAATGAATTCCTGAGGGCTCTGGGGGATTTACCAGTTGATAAAACTGACACGCCTGTTGATGCTCTGGTCGATTTGTAGAATGGGGAAATGACCAGGGCAATCGACACAATCACTCCTAAGTGTCCTCTCCCACCAGGCAGAGCCCACTCATCACCATGGTATACACCTGAGTTATGGGGGATGAAGCAGGCTGGGAAATGGTTAGAGCACAGGTGGAGGAAATCACAGAATGAATCTGATTGAACATGCTTACTTGCTCATTATCAAGCCTACGCTGTGACAGTAAGGGCAGCAAAGAAGCAATTCTTCTCCGCTCACAGTGCCTCCTCACAGTGCCATCCAGCAGAGCTTTTTTGAGTGGTGGACGGCCTAATACACCCTGACCCTAAAAAAGATCAAGTGACACCATCAATAGCCTACTATGACGACTTTGCCCAGCACTTCAAGGAGAAATTCTCTCAGATTCATCATGAGCTGGATTCCACATTTGATAGAGTTCCATTACAGGAAGTGTCCAAAGCCCCGTTTGGTCCATCATCGTTGGATGAATTTCAGTTTTTGCATCCTGATGATGTGGACAAGGATTGGTACACTCTACCACCTACTTACTCAATCCTTGCCCTTCATGGCTACTTACCAAAGCCAAACACGGGATTGCTACCTGGGTCCAGGAGGTTATTAATACCTCACTGAGGGAGGGCTGGGTTCCTGCCCCTTTGAAGAAGGCAGTGATTAGACCCATCCTAAAGAAGGAGTCTCTGGACCCAGAGGTGGCTGTCAATTATAGACTGATGGCCAACATCCCGTTCTTGGGCAAGGTGTTGGAGCAGGTGGTGGTGGGACAACTCCAGGCACTCTTGGATGAAATTTATTATCTAGACCCATTTCAATCTGGTTACAGTACTGAATCTGCCTTGGTCATCCTGTATGATGACCTGTGCAGGGAGAGGGACAGGGGGAGTGCCTCCCTGTTGGTTCTCCTGAACCTGTCAGCGGCTTTTGATACTATCAACCATGGTTTCCTTCTGGACAGGCTGGCCACATTAGGAGAAAGAGGCTCTGCTTGGCAGTGGTTCCGTTCCTACCTGGCTTGCCAATTCCAGAAGGTGGTGCTGGGGGACTATGGCTCTGCGCCATGGCAGCTCTGTCATGGAGTACCTAATGGAGTACCTATTTTGTCCCCCATGCTATTCAACATCTACATGAAACTGCTAGGAGAGGTCATCAGGAAGTCTGGACTGCTAAGTCACCAGTATGCTGATGGCACCCAGCTTTACCTCTCTTCTACAACCATTCCAGATAAGGCAATGGCTGTCCTGAACCTGAACTGACAGGGGGAAATGGGCTGGATGAGGGCCAACAAACTGAAACTCAATCCAAATAAGATGGAGGTCCTTTTGGTAGGTGGTTCTGATTTTCAGGTAAGTGATTCTGGCCCTGTCCTGGACGGGATTGCACTCCCTGTAAAGGACAGCGTCCGCAGCTTGGGAGTGCTGCTCAACCCAGAGCTGTCCCTGGAGGCCCAGGTGGTGGCGGTGGCATTTTCCTTCAGCTTTGGCTGTTCCATCAGCTGCGTCCTTACCTGGATGAGCACTGCCTACCAACGGTGACACATGCTCTGGTAACCTCCTGGTTTGACTATTTTAGCATGCTCTAAGTGAGGCTGCCCTTGAAGATGATCCGGATACTTCAGTTGTTTCAAAATAGAGCTGCCAGATTGCTGTCGGGGACTGGTCGCTATTCTCATATAACACCGGTCCTCTTTCAGCTTCACTGGCTCCCCATTGAAGTCTGGGCCCAATTAAGGTGCTGGTATTGACCTATAAAGCTTGGGACCAGGATAGCTGAAGGAACTTCTTTTTCCCTATATGCCCTCCCACCCCTTAAGATCTGCAGCAGAGGCCCTGCTCCGGGAACCCTGTTTGAAGGAGGTTAGGAGAGTGAACACCCGGAGGAGGGCTTTCTCTGCAGTGGCGCCCCAGCTGTGGAAAGCGGTCTCCAGAGAGTTTCACCTGGAACTGATGTTATATGCTTTTCAGCACCAGGTCAAGACCTTTTTATTTACCTAATATTTTAAAGTTTAAATATTTTAATAATGATTTTATTGATATCCTCAGGCGTATGTTATTTTGTTGTTGATTGATGTATTTATTAGGTGTTTTATACTGTAAGCCATCCAGAGACAAACCATAATGGATGGGATAAAAATATCCAGATAGATAGATAGATAGATAGATAGATAGATAGATAGATAGATAGATAGATCGATCAGGTAGGCAGGCAGGCAGGCAGAAATTAAATGGAGGTTTGCAGACCCATTTGCCCAACATAGAAGACCTAGGAATGGGTAAGTGGTGTGGGTCTCTACTGATAGGCCCTTAGCATACCAGGTGCTAACACTAGACCTGCTGCAGTTGTAGGTATTTTAGGAAATGTATACTACCCATTCTAATACACATTCAGCTGCGTCCCTACCTGGAGAATGACTGCCTGGCAACAGCGACACACGCGTTGGTAACTTCCCGACTAGACTTCTGCAACGCGCTCTATGTGGGGCTGCCCTTGAAGACGGTCCGGATACTTCAGTTGGTGCAAAATAGAGCTGCCAGGCTGCTGACGGGGACTGGGCATTATGTTCACATGACTCCAGTCCTCCATCAGCTTCACTGGCTCCCCATTGAAGTCCAGGCCCAATTCAAGGTGTTGGTTATTACCTATCATCAGCAGGAGAGGCCCTTCTCCAGGAACCCCCCGTGAAGGATATTAGGAGGGTAAGTAAGATATTAGGAGGGTAAGGAGGAGGGCTTTCTCTGTGGTGGCATCCAATCTATGGAATGCGCTCCCCAGAGAAGTTCGCCTGGCGCCATCGTTATTTGTTTTTCAGTACCAGGACAAGACCTTTTTATTTAAACGACATTTTAATTGTTAGCTTTATTTTTATATATTCGGCCAGGATGTCTCCAATTATATTGTTTTTATATGTTTAATATGTATTTAGTTATTGTTGTGAGCCGCCCCGAGGCTTCAGCGAATGGGACGGCATAGAAGCTTACTAAATAAATAAATAATATATTAAAATTATTCCCCACAAAATTCCCCTTCTATTTCTGTAACATCTATTCAGACTCACTACTCAGCTACATTCAAGAGTAGAAAAATCCATGAGCACTTATGAAATAACTACATTGTTGAACTCACTCTTGTTTCTAGGGAAAAAAGTATTTTATCCAGTACTTTTCAGCCAGTATAACCCAAACCTAATTTATGGACATCATGATTTTGTCCCACCCCTAGAACAACAACTGGTAAGTAAACAGCTTTATATAATGTTTTAAAACTGAATATATAAAACACATATATCAAGCCAGTGTGCTGCCCTCCAGATACAGACTGGAGATGTTGGGAATTAGAATACAACATACCTGGTGGGCATCAGCTGTGGGAAGGCTATATTAGAACATGAAAAATAATCCTTAGGACTAAGAAGAGAGCAGCAAAGATTTGATGGAGGTTTTAACTGCTGCTAGAAGCATGAGTTGGAATTAATTAATTAATTAAAAATAAATTGTCCTTTTACGCACATGCAGAGATAAATGTATTGTTGTTTCTTCCAGGTCATAAAAAAGGAAACAGGTTTTTGGAGAGACTTTGGATTTGGAATGACTTGCCAGTACCGCTCTGATTATATCAATATTGGTAAGAAATTATGATTGTGTTTGCATTTGGCCTCTCCGAAGATTAATACCAGTTTATCAGATTTCTGGAGGATATCAAAAATATGTGCTTTATCTACTCTTGCATCTCCAACATATATCAGTATATATGCAACTACATACTTCAGGGGTTCAATACCATCTAAAACAAGTAAAACATATAATTGTGTTTTAAATGTAGGGACCAGTGGCTTTGCTGAAATCTCATGATGTAAATTATTCCATTTTGTACCCATATTCTCAATTTTGTTGATATCTGCTTCTTCGCATAACTGAATATTACCCATAAATGATCTATCCTGATCCTTGTTTGGTATACAATATTGCAGTCATTGTCCTCACATTATTGAATTGGACTTTAATTTTGATCAATCTTCTTTTTTTTAACAGTTCTAATCATATCTCCTAATGAAATGAAGCAGGAATGGAGTACTTGTGCCTTTTCTGTCAGCTTTTATCAATTTGCCATCCACATTGAGTTGTTGAACCCCAATTTCTTTCTGCTGTCTTTTTCTTTGGGCATATCCGAAGAAGGCTTTTTTGTTGCTTTTAGCATCCCTCACTAGCCTCAGTTCATTCCCAGCTTTAGCCTTCGTGAAACCATCCTTGTAATTCCGTGCTACCTGCTACCTTTATCAGGAAGGTTGTAGTGCTTCTTGGGAGAAGACTTCTGCCTTTTCTTTGACATCTGTTATCATTGTCCCATCCATGGTGAGTAGCTGAATGCCCTTCTCTTTTGCCTGTCTTTTGCTTTGGATGAATTTGAAAAAGGCTTTTTTCTTGTTTTTAGCTCCTCTCACTAGCCTTGGTTCCTTCATCACCTTAGCCTTCCTGATACCATCCCAGCAAGTTCCATGATACTTGCATGTGTTCTTCCTTTCTAGTGTGCCCTTTATTCCACTTCCTGTATAAGGCCTTTTTTGTTTTCAGATCAACCCTAAGCTTTTTGTGAAGCCACACGGGCATCTTCTGTTGTCTTTTACCCCTTTTCCTTGTTGGAATTGTTTGTAATTGTGCCTTCAGAATTCCTTTACTTAAAAATTCCCACTCATTTTGGACTCCTTTTCTCATAAGAGCCACTTGCCATGGGACATGACTTGTCAGTATTCGGAGTTTATTAGAATTCATGTATGGCAATCACTGCCTTGTCATGGCGAAGGGGCTTGCATAGCTCAATGAAGCTATGAGCTATGCCTTGTAGGGTACCCAAGACAGACAGGTCATAGCAGAGAGCTCTAACAAAAGCTGATCCACTGGAGAAGGAAATGGCAACTCACTCCAGTATCTTTGCCATGAAAACCCCATGGACAGTACCAAAAGGCAGAAAGATATGATGCCAGAAGATGAGCCCCTCAGGTTGGAAGGTGTCCAATATGCTACTGGGGAAGAGCAGAGGGCTAGTACTAGTAGTACCACAAAGAATGAAGCAACTGGATCAAAGCCAAAAGGACACGCAGTTGCCAATGTATCTGGTGGTGAAAGGAAAGTTCGATGCTGCAAAGATCTGTACTCCATAGAAACCTGGAATGTAAGATCTATGAATCCAGGAAAGCTGGACGTGGTCAAACAAGAGATGACAAGACTGAACAATCGACATTTTAGGAATCAGTGAACTAAAATGGACAGGAATGGGTGAATTTAATTCAGATGACCATCAGGTATACTATTGTGGGCAAGAATCGCTCAGAAGAAATGGAGTAGTCTTCATAGTTAATAAAAGAGTAGGAAAAGCAGTACTGGGATACAGTCTCCAAAATGACAGAATGATCTCAGTTTGAATCCAAGGCAAAACATTCAACATCACAGTAGTCCAAGTCTATGCCCCAACCACTGGTGCTGAAGAGGCTGAAGTTGACCAGTTCTATGAAGGCCGTCAACACCTTCTAGAAATAACAGCAAAAAATGATGTCCTTATCATCATGGGGGACTGGAATGCTAAAATGGGAAGGCAAGGATAACCGGAACAACAGGCAAGTTTGGCCTTGGAGTAAAAAATGAAGCAGGGCACAGGCTGGTAGAATTTTATCAAGAAAATACAATGGTCATAGCAAACACTCTTTTCCAACAACCTAAGAGACGACTCTACACATGGACATCACCAGACGGTCAAGACAGAAATCAGATTGACTATGTGCTCTGCAGCCAAAGATGGAGAAGCTCTATACAGTCAGTTATAACAAGACCAGGAGCTGACTGTGGCTCAGATCATGAGCTTCTTGTTGCAAAATTCAGACTTAAATTGAAGAAAGTAGGGGAAAGCACTAGGCCACTCAGATATGACCTAAATCATATTCCTGATGAATATACAGTAGAGGTGACAAATAGATTTAAGGAATTAGATCTGATAGACAGAGAGTCTGAAGAACTATGGACAGAGGTTTGCAACATTGTAAAAGAGGTAGCAACTAAAACCATCCCAAAGAAAAAGAAATGCAAGAAAGCAAAATGGCTGTCTGAGGAAGCTTTACAAATAGCTGAGGAAAGAAGGGAAGTGGAAGGCAAGGGAGATAAAGAAAGATACACCCAACTGAATATAGAATTCCAGAGAATAGATAAAAGAGATACGAAGGCCTTTTTAAATGAACAGCACAATGAAATAGAGGAAAGCAATAAAATGTGAAAAACTAGAGATCTCTTCAAGAAAATTGGAGATATGAAGGGAACGTTTCATGCAACGATGGGCATGTTGAAGGATCAAAATGGCAGGGACCTAACAGAGGCAGAAGAGATTAAGAAGAGGTGGCAAGATTACACAGAGGAACTATACAAGAAAGAGCTTAATGTGCCTGATACCACAATGGGGTGGTCACTGACCTTGAGCCAGACATCCTGGAATGTGAAGTCAAATGGGCCTTAGGAAGTCTCAGCAACAACACGGCTAGTACAGCAGGCAGTATTCCAGCTGAGCTATTCAAAATCCCAATAGACAATGCAGTCAAAGTGTTGCACACAATATGCAGCAAATTTGGAAAACCCAACAGTGGCCACAGGATTGGAAAAGGTCAGTTTACATTCCAATTCCAAAGAAGGGCAATGCCAAAGAATGTTCTAACTACTGCACCATTGAACTCATTTCACATTCTAGCAAAGTGATGCTCAAAATCCTACAAGCTAGGCTCCAGCAGTATGTGGACAGAGAACTACCAGAAGTACAGGCAGGATTTCGAAGAGGGAGAGGAACTAGAGATCAAATTGCCTACATACGCTGGATCATGGAGAAAGCTAGGGAGTTCCAGAAAAACATCTCTTTCTGCTTCATTGACTATGCTAAAGCCTTTGATTGTGTGGATCACAACAAATTGTGGCAAGTTCTTAAAGAAATGGGAGTACCAGACCATCTTATTTGTCTCTTGAGAAACCTATATGCGGGCCAACAGTGAGAACTGGGCATGGAACCACTGATTGGTTCAAAATTGAGAAAGGAGTTTGGCAAGGCTGTATACTGTCGTCCTGCCTATTTAACTTATATACAGAGCACATCATGGGAAAAGTGGGGCTAGATGAATCACAAGTTGGAATTAAGATTGCTGGGAGAAACATCAACAACCTCAGATATGCAGATGATACCACTCTAATGGCAGAAAGTGAAGAGGAACTAAAGAGCCTCTTGATGCAGGTGAAGGAGGAGAGTGCAAAAGTTGGTTTCAAACTCAACATTAAGAAAACTGAGATCATGGCATCTGGTCCTATCACTTCCTGGCAAATAGATGTGGAAGGAATGGGGGTAGTGACAGATTTTATTTTTCTGGGCTCCAAGATCACCGCAGATGGAGACTGCAGCCAAGAAATTAAAAGACGCTCGCTCCTGCGGAGGAAAGCTATGGCAAATCTAGACAGAATACTAAAAAGCAGAGACATCACCCTGCCAACAAAAGTGTGTATAGTTAAGGCTATGGTTTTCCCAGTTTCAATGTATGGTTGTGAAAGCTGGACCATAAGGAAGGCTGAGCGCCAAAGAATTGAGGCCTTTGAGTTGTGGTGCTGGAGGAAACTCCTGCTAGTCCCTTGGACTGCAAGGCGATCAAACCAGTCAGTCTTAGAGGAGATCAACCCTGACTGCTCTTTAGAAGGCCAGATCCTGAAGATGAAACTCAAATATTTTGGCCACCTAATGAGAAGGAAGGACTCCCTGGAGAAGAGCCTAATGCTGGGAACAATTGACGGCAAAAGAAGGGGACGGCAGAGAATGAAGTGGCTAGATGGAGTCACTGAAGCAGTCGGTGTGAGCTGAAGTGTACTCCAGGGGATGGTGGAGGACAAGAAGGCCTGGAGGAATGTTGTCCATAGGATCATGATGGGTCAGACGTGACTTTGCAACTAACAACAACAATGGTCACTTCCTCCAGAGTTCCCATAGCTGCCACTTTGTCCACTAGGTCTTCCCTGTTGGTTAGTATCAGGTCAAACATAGCCATTCCTCCGGTTCCTTCTACATTCTGCTGTTCCTTCCACTATCAGCAACTCATGCTAGGAATCTCTGTGAAGGGCCATGTTTGGCAGAGTTTGGCACTCAACAGATATCAGGGAAATTGAAGTCCCTATAACAACATCATGCCTCCTTCAAACACTGACAATTTGCTTTATGAAAGTTTCATCCTCATCTTCTCCTTGACCAGGTAGTCAGTAACAGACTCCAACCACTGTGTTCTTTTTATTCCTTGCTTCTTTTATATTAATCCAAAAGCTCTCATTGGTGCTACTATGCTCATCCTCCTGTATTTCTGTGCAGAGATATGTGTCTTTAACATATAATGCAACTCTGCCTCTCTTTCTGTTCCTTCTGCTCTTCTTGAGCAAGTTATATCCCTCTGTTGTTGAATTCCAGTCATGAAAGCCACCCCTTCAAATTTCAGTTAAACTTATGAGATCGTATTCAACCTCCTGTATTAAAAGTTCAAGATCATGCTGTTTGTTTTCCTTACTCCAGGCATTAGTTTATAGACATTGAAGATCATGTGCTTTAGGTGCTAGCATTCTTCCTGCATTTTTTGAAAAAGTACCTTCATATTGGGAGGGGTAGACATTTCAAGTGTCACTTATAAAGTAACATATTTCAATAGGATATTTTTGTCCTAAACTGCATTATTACCAGCTAATATATGCTTAGCTACCTTACCTGCTGTATTTCCAGTTGCAATTAAACAGATCCGTCATCAGTAAGAAATAAATTGCTACCTTTGGTAGACTTTGGATTTTTGGACATGAATTTAGAATGATGAATGACTATCTGTTATGTTGTTGTTCTTCCTATTAGGAAGAGCCTATCACATCCTTGTGGAAAGAATTTCTATATTTCTCCTGAGGCCAAGGCGGCCAGGAGCAAGAAGGGAAAAAAAGATGAACCTGGGAACTACAGGCCAGTCAGTCTGATGACAATCCCTGGAAAAATTCTAGAGCAAATTATAAAACAAACAGTCTGCAGAGACCTTGAAGACAATGTAGTAATGCTTTTGGGCATCTATGTTTGAAAAAGCTGCAGAAATGCTAGAAAGGGTGCAGAGGAAGGCAACAAGGATGATTCAGGGACTGGAAGGAAAGCCCTGTGAGGATAGATTAAGAGAACTAGTCATGTTCACCCTCACGAAGAGAGGACTAAGGGGTAATATGATAGCATTCTATAAGCACCTTAAAGTATGTCACTAAGATGAAGGACAAGTTCTCTTCTCATTCAAGCCAGAGTACAGGACACAGAATAACAGAGTTAAGTTAAACGTTAAAAGAAACTAGATTTAGACACCAGGAAGAATTTCCAGACTGTCAGAACAGTTTGACAATGGAACCTATTACACAGGGAATCATGTAATAGGTTCTCCCTTGCTGGAGACATTCAAAAAACATCTGGACAACTGATTGGGATGGTGGGTCTCAGTGTTCTTCACTGAGCAGGGAGCTGGACTGATGGCCTTCTGGCCCCTTCCAACTCTACTCTTTTATTTTTCTGGCCTAGATATTTATCCAGGCTAGAGAATGGCTGGAGGCACGGTGCTTAAAAGCTTGACTCCTTGCTAACAGCTATCGAGAAAACCCAGATATTTTTCCTTTGGGTTCGGTTCCCATGAGCTGACATCTCTGCCATTAACACAACTGATTTCTCACAACAGCCCTGCAAAAATCTTGCACCCTCTCTCTTTCTTATACATATACTTTCTTTTCTTTTTTAGGAGGATTTGATATTGACATCAAAGGATGGGGAGGAGAGGATGTGCATCTGTACCGTAAATACCTTCACAGCAACCTCATTGTGGTGAGGACACCTGTCCGAGGCCTTTTCCATCTCTGGCATGAAAAGCATTGCTTAGATGAGCTGTCCCCAGAGCAGTACAAGATGTGTATTCAGTCCAAAGCTATGAACGAAGCTTCTCATGGCCAACTAGGAATGCTTGTCTTCCAAAAGGAGATTGAGGCTCATCACTACAAACAGAAAGCAAACAAGAAAAAGACTTGAAGCAACAAAGTATCTTACTCAAAGATAAAAATAAGTCAAACTTAGAAAGGCGTTCTAAAAACAAATTCTAGGAAGGTGAAATATCCCTAAAAATTCTAGTCTTTGCTATTAGTTGCAGCACACTCAAAACCACCATTTTCTTTAAATTTCTGGTCTAATATACCTCAGTGTTGGTTGAGCTGTTAAGCAGCCATGTCTTCTTGCCAATTGTTTGACATTTGAAATACAACAAGATGGTTTTACAACTTGTATAAAATCATAAAGTTGGAAGAGATCTTGGAAAATGCCTAAGACAATCCCTCCTCAATTTATGCTGTGAGATAGATGGTGGTCATGCAGCCTCTGTTTAAATATCTCCTGTGAAGAAGAACCCACCACCACTCATGGCTGTCCATTCTACTACCAAACAGCCCTCACTGGCTGTTCACCAGAAATATGCTGCCCTGCAATTTCCACCTCTTGGTTGCACCTCTTTTTCACTGGAGCAACAGTGAAAAAGTCTGCTGTTTCTGCATGACAGCTTTTGAGATATTTGTACTCCAGTATCATGACATCCCTTGATCTTCTCTTCCTCTGGCTAAATATACCCAGCTCCTAACTATTCCTCTCAGTCCTTGGTTTTCAGACCCCCTACCACTCCAGCCACTTTTCTCTGGGTACACTCCAGTTTGCCAGTGTCCTTCTTTAAAATCAACTGGACATAAGATACCTAAGACAAAATGGAGTGGAAATTATTCCTGATCATGAATTTTGAATAACATATAATGGGACTGTAAAAAGCTTTACATTTTATCAGCTAGGTAGCCAGGTACTCAAAATACGCATGACTAAAGTTTTATAGGAATACTTTTAAGTGTAGAGCCCAGAGTGGCTATTCAACTTTTATTATTAATGCTGATGACCCTGAGCTAGCTCTATCTATGCTGTGTTTTAGCTGTGAACAGGCATGCACACCCATATTTGTGTCACACTCATTCAATTCAAAGATATTTAATTAGAACCATAATGCATGTGACCCCTATCAGCTGCGCATAACCGATCCCTTGCTAGATTGATGCATTTCTCTTCAGGCTTCTCAAATAAGTGAAATGGCATTTATGTTCTGTAAGCCATGTACCAGATACCTCTGGTAAGGTTTCAAAATTGTACAGAACTTAAATGAAATCACATGTGCAAATTTAAGATACATAGAATAGGGGACAATCAGGGTTTACCTTATAAAGAGATGTATCTGAAGAAGACAGTTTCTAATTTCTCAATAAGGAATGAAAACAAATGTATTTCTATATGAAGCCCAACACACTATCTGTTATAATCATTCAACCCAATTTTGTCTGAGCTTCACTTATTCTCAGGTGCATGAAATGCCATTCGTGTTTTTCCTCAGCAACATATGCTGAAAAGAAGCACAATGTCACATTTTACAAATGGATTTTTCACTTATCAAATAGATTTGCAAGTAAATGTGTGCTTTTGATCTGCCACCTATCCTGCAAAGTAACTGGAATTAACTGCATGCTGTTAAAGAGAGATGAATTTAGCAGAAACAGAAGATTCCTCACATGAAGATCTGGAAGTGGCCAAAGACTTTTCATTCTAATAAAGGAAAGCTGAATTCACTGGAAAATCATTAAATGGAAGGATAACCTGTTAAGTTGTTCAGAGCAGAAATATTTAATGTGCAAACCAAATACAGCCTCTTTTTCACTGCACAGGGATTCACATAGTTATTTCCCTTTCCAGTGCTTAATCATTGTTTTCTGTAGTGCTTAAAGATGGAACTTCACTTTACTATGCAAACACAGGATGCCCAACTTCAGGTTTTCCCTGTAAGGCAAAGGCAGGGATAGTGGAGAAATTTACAGGGGAGAAATTATGGGCAGCAGGAGAGTGTTTAACCTCTCATGTTCCCATCAGTTCTTCTCTGCAATCCTCATTAATACTGCATGAACCCCAATGGATTCCAAAACTGAAAGTAAACCTAGTTGAGAAAAAAGTGGTAGTGCTTTGTATGTGTATGGGGGGGGGGGCATTTGTTGGGAGAAGTTAAACAATTTGCCCACCAACTGTCCCCTACAAATGTTGAGTCTGCTCCCTTCCTTGTTACCTTGACAGATTTGCAAGGATAACATGTAGCTCCGCTGGCAAGTTGACAGACTGTAGTGACTCTGTCAACAGTGTCTGATATGTTGCATTTTAACCCTAAAGTGGTGATTTCATATTCAGAAATGTAAAAGTAACATTCATGGTGAATTGATGTTACATCACAGAAAAACAAGGGGAAATATACAATGGCACTGACTCTCTTTTGCCATTTGGTAGAATAACCAAAGATGTCAATAGTCTTACTCAGCATAAGCAAAACAGTTTTTGCACACTATGGAAATTTAGCAACTGTATGCTGAATGGTTGCCCAAGTATTTTGAACAGACTGCATAAGGTCTGCGTGGCAGTAGCAATGGGACCAGGGCACCAGTGCAAGGCGGAGTCCTGCAGGAGGTTCAGGGAGCCAGAAGCAAGAGGCACATTGGTATAACATCTAGAGTCAAGCCAAGAAGACAAGATTCCAGAAACAGAGTCCAAGATTTCATAGTTCAAAAGCAGAGTCCTTGGGTCAAGTTCCAGATAATATGTTCTGAAGCAGGCAAGGTCAGGGAGGAGTTGTGTTGTGCCAAAGAACAACACTGTAGGGAAGCTTTTTATGCTGGTGTCCTGGCCCTCCAACTTACTGCATAATGGCTCTTCAGCTGTTTCCTACTAGTGCCCACAAAGGTGTTCCTGACTCTGCAGGCACTTGCATTATCACTCAGGACCTGATCCTGAGCGTGTGATCTGATGCCAGCATTTGTTAGTTGGGAAAGAGTACAGTAAAAGTACACAGTAAAAGACCATTTTGCAGTTGCTCAAACTAAGTTCAAGCTAGAAGATAATCTGGAATCCAACAGTAGTCTACTTGGTAATTCCAGAAATTCCTGCAAATAATACTAAACCTTAATGGTTCATAGGAAAGACTTGTATACTCAGTATCACAAAACACAGAATAGTTGTGTGCTATCAAAACATGAGCTGTTCTTTAAAACCAGGACTCATCCTGCATCCTATGTACTCCTGGTCTTGTGCGTAAGGGAAGACAAATGCTAATTCCTATCTGCCACTGTGCTTGAATGGTTAGGAAAATATACTGTGATGATTTGAGTCCCAGGAGCAGGACTTCTGCCTCTAAGATAGCTGTTTTTTGCCAGGCGAATGGAGTAATTTTCTTCTCCTCCCTGATAGGGTTTGAATTTGCTTCTCCTTTCTATCCCCATGGCCAGGTAGGTGAGTTTCTGAGGTTATTCCTGTTGGTGTGTGGCTTTGACTCTCCCTTTTGGGTGGTTCCTTCTTTTGGCTGCTTGGGAAAAATGTATTTCTCTTGCTCAGTTATTTTTAAATCCATAAACCAGCAGGACTGTGTCCCCCTCTCCCGTAACCTGTCAAGGGCATGATATTGATCCTGTGTTGTGTGCCTCTCTGTCCATCCCATTGTCTGTTATGATCAAAAATGGTGTTTGTGAGCAGTGTGCAGTATAAGAGGAATGGAACTCCTACATGCAGGAAGACCCGGGGACTTGGATCATTGTTGATCAAGTTGGCTTTACATGCTGTGCTTGGGGTGATACAGGTTGGTGTGCTGGGAGTGTGTGCCACTGACTCTTTGTATGTGTGGTTGGTTATATGGGCACTGCAACCCTAGCAATGGACTCTGGTGATGTTTCCATAGATAGCAGGGATGTAGTGTTTGCTCTTTGGGAATTTTGTAATCACTGACTTAGTTTTCATGATACAAGAAGACATGGTGGGTATTGTGTTATGCAAACCTGAACTGTTTTGCAAAGAATGGGTTGTTGGAGAAACTGTGGCTGATAAACAGTTGCCTATTGCTGGGATCACTGTACTCAAATGGGTTGTTGTAGCATTTGAAGCTGGGCAACCAACCCCACTGTAGGTACTGGGATACTAACGAGCTTCTTGATAAGGGTGGCAAAAGCCCCTTGCTGCATTGCCAAACTCATACAGGCCACTAACAAGCACTTTAGGAAGCATGGCACTGGCTCCATGACCCCCGTTATGACTGCAAGCCTTTTTATGCTCAATATACCCTTTTTCAATTTACTCCCCCTGCCCTACCACCCCCCCAGATCACAAAAAGCAATTTGTCAGCTAGCATCAGTTCCTTCCAAGTGCCTAAGCAGCATATTGGAGCGGGTCTTCATAGTGTCCAAGTAGCATATTTAGCAGGTCTGAAATGGCCTCCTTCACCTGGGCAATGTCTAGGGGGTGTTAATGTACAACAGGCACCCCATAGGGGAACTGAGTCTGTTGACCCAGAGGCTGCCAAGATCTTTATTTTTGCCTTTAATTTGTCTTGATAGCTGCCAAAAGATGAACTGTCAAGAAAAAGTGATCTCTGCTTACAAAAGGGGTTGCCCTGTTGGACAAATCCTTCTTGGCAAGATCCTCTAATAATAATAGTAACTTTTGAACCTGGCTCTTCTGAGGGGTCTCTCACTTTCCATGCATTTTGCAGGACACTGTGTGCTCACAAGTGTGGAAAACTGTGAACCGCTCTTTTTTTTTTTTTTAATGGGAGCTGTCATAACTCCAGTTCTGATAAAAAGAGTGGGCTTTTTTTTTTTTTTTTTTTACAAGGAGTCACATTTTTCCCCATAAGGGGCAAGCAGGCATGAGTGCATATCTCAAAAGTGTGTGGGGAGGGGGCGGGTAAAAGAGACAAGATGCCACTGCAAGGACAAAACACCTCTCAAATATGATGAGAGGGGCAGGTAATTTGGACCTGCCATGGGGTCCTCTGGAATACCTAAAGGAGGTCCAAGAAATAAAAAGGAGTGGGCAAATAACCCAAAGTTAGCTCAATCAGTTGGGCACGCTGTGGGTTGGTTGCACAACAGCCAACCCACCTTAGCTTATTGTCAGGCATAGGTTAGTACAAAACATCAATACAGCAGTGTGTTTTCTCCTCCAAGGCTGAGCATACGCCCATTTGCCAGCATAGACTTGGCATAATTAGGGTAAGGACTGTGGTGCACATTACATTCACAGGTGATGGTTTTTACATTATAGTTGTTACATCAATTTGTGCTTCTTTATCCTAATGTGTTAGAACTCTGGAGAACTGTGCCTACAGGAAAAACATACAAGAAAATAAAAAGTTATAACATTGAACATTGAATTAAAATAAAACATAAAAAACACTGTGCATCCCACCACCAGGATGGTTGGATACATGTTAAATCATTGGTTGTTTCAAGAAGCTCTGCCCCCTTCCAAAATTTCAATGAATCCTGTGAATGTTCAAATCCTTTTCCTTTTATTAACACATAATCAATAAATGGACCCCAAATATCATCAACATTATTCTTTTTTATATAGTCTTTTCACTTTAATATCAGAGGTCAATTTGTCATTATTAGCTATATTCCAAACTTCTCTATACCAATCACTCAGCTAATAATCACATTTTACTTTCCAATTCTTTGCTGTAATTAATCTCAGAGCTGTTAATTTGTTAATTTGTTAGTAATTTAATACTCCAACTCCATTGTTTTCTATCAAATATTAACAATAATGCTATTTCAGAACGTGTGTCAATATTTAAACAATATTTAGCTACTTTCTTTAAAAATCTTTTTCCAAAACTTCATTATATATTCACATTCCCACCATGTATGATAAGTACCCACTCCAATTTGTGGCAACCCCATGTATGAATGTCCAGGGACATTTTGCCCTCCAAAACATCCTATCCATTAAAGCCCTGCTCAGTTCTTGAAAACTCAAGGCTGCAGCTTCCTTTATGGAACTGATCCATCTTGTAGTTGGTATTCCTCCTCTTCTTCTGTCTTCAACTTGTCCTACCATGCCTTTCTCCAGTGAGATTGGCCTTCTCATATGCTCAAACTACGACAGCTTCAGTTTTCTCATTTTTACTTCCAGGGGAAATACTGGCTTGATTTGATTAGAACTCATTTATTTGTCTTTCTGTCAGTCCAGAGTATTCACAAAGCTTTCCTCCAGCACCATGTTTCAAATACATCATTTTTTCCTGTCAGTCTTTTTTTGCTATCCCACTTTCACACCCATATATAGTGACTGGAAATACAATAGTGTGGATAATCTTAGCCTTGGTCTCCAGTGAAATGTCCTTTCATTTGATTTTTTAGTTCCTTCATTGCTGCCCTTTCAAAACTTGGTTTGAATTGATGGCTAAGGACAAGTATGCAAAATCTTTCCCAATTTCAGTTGTCTTCATTCTTGACATTAAAGTTATGTAATTCTTCTGTAGTCATTTTTTAATGCTGAGCTGCAGTTCTGCTTTTGTACTTATATTTTCATCTGTGGCTATATTTAACTAAGTTTATTTTCCTGACATGACCAATATACAAATAATTAGAGAATACTGATGATTAAAACAACAAGGAAATGCAATTAGTATTTGAAGTTTGTCCAGACTCTGCACCAAGAACCGGGGTGGGCTTGGAGCTCCCTCCCACCCCCTGGAACACCTGCCACGCCGCGCTGTCACTGCTGCCACCGCCGTACCTGAGGCGCACCGCCGAGCCGGGGGCCAGCTGACGCCACTCCCGTGGCCACCTCTGGGCCACCCCGGACACGGAGGACGCCAGGGCCACGCCAGGGCTGCCATCAACAGTGC